TTCCTGGTTTTCCTCTGTGGTTCCTGGGGCGTCCTCTCTGGTTCCTGAGGGCGTCCTCTGTGGTTCCTGGGGCGTCCTCTGTGGTTCCTGGGGCGTCCTCTCTGGTTCCTGAGGGCGTCCTCTGTGGTTCCTGGGGCGTCCTCTGTGGTCCTGGTTTTCCTCTGTGGTTCCTGATGTGGGCGTGTCCATCTCCCCATCTGCTGATGCAGTCCGCCATCACTGTGGTGTGCTTGTTGATTGCCTTTGTTCCCCTTGGAGTGTCAATTGTTTTGTGGGCCTGGAGGATGTGGCTCGTGCCTTCCCCTAACCTTCTGTGTCACATCATGGCGCTATTCTTGCTGGCCTGCTGGAGAGGAGGCCCACAGAGGGAGGAGCTTGGAGCCCTTCCTCAGGGTCTCTTCCGTGGCTTTGGGAGCAGTCTGTGCCCATGAGCTTCCAGCAGGGCTGACTCTTGGCCCCTCTCTTTGGGCCTTTCCTGGCTGATGGCTCCCTTGGACCCTGTTTGGGTGACCCTGGGTCTGCACGGACGCTGTGCCAAGGTGGGCTGCAGGCAGGTCCCCTGCTGACTGAGGGTGCCTCTGTTTAATTGCAGCCCTCCGGCATCCTTTTGGCCTCAGCCTCCACTGACCTCCATCTACCCGAGGACACGCAGCCTCCCTCTCAGGGCTCCCACCACGGGCCTCCAGCCAACGCTCCAACACCCTGCGGGCCAGCCTACTTCCTCCCTGGGGAGAAGCCACCCCCCTACGCACCCTGACTTCGGGGTGGCAGACTGGAAAGTATCTTGGTTTTGCTTGTTTTTTTAAAAAAGCTAAGTCTGGAAATCCTGCTTCTGACCTCCCACAGAGCTGCAGAGCTTTCTGAAGGCTGCGCTCTCCTCCCTTCAGGGACCACCCTTAGCCAGGGATAAAGGTGACAGCTGACCAGAGCCTGCGGCGGCTCTGCTTGATTCCCTCTCAGCGCGAAGCCAGCGCCCCACACTCAGCCCCAGCCTCCTCTGTTGAAAGGGGCTGCTCAGAAATCTGCCTTCACTCACGGAACCAGAAAGCCACTCTGTGCCTTCCTCTCAGTCAACTGGCTGTTATCATCATTCTGCCAGGGGAATGCAGCTTGGTACATCACTGAATGAAGACCATTCTCTTAAGGAAAGGTGTCCTAGATTTGTGTTTTTTGTGTGTGAGTCCCTCGGGATGCACAGGGTCCCACCTGCCCCTCTGTGCTGTGTTCTCCTGGCATTTGCTTGGAGAGTTTCCAAAGGTCTGTGCATGGCCTGTGCTTGAGGCCTGTGTCCTGCTGCCTGCTCAGTGCTGGGACACATATCTGCCACTCGCGTGCCGCGGCCGGTCTGCCCGAGTGCTGCCTACCCAGGGCTCTGGGGGCCTGCTGCTGCTCCTCACTCTGCCCAGAGACCGCACACCTGCAGCCTGCAACTGCGGGAGGCGCCACGGAACCTCCAGTCTCTGACCAAGGGAACGCCAGGGCAGATGGTCCCCAGGACCTGGCCTCCCCACTCTGTCATACACTGAGGGTCCCACATGTGACTGCCGTGCCAGGCCCCTGTGAAAAAGCTGAAGTGTGCCTGCTCTTGGAGATGGCCAGGTCCTGGCTGACCCAGCAGTCCCTGCACGGAGTCGGTGAGCTGTCGGGACAGCCCCAAAGCATGTACCGTGCTGTGTGATTCCCTCCTGTGTGATTTCCTCCGGCTGGAGAGTCTTGGACTTGTCATCCAGTGCAGGGACAGCCCAGGTCTGCCCCAGGAGGGTCCCAGAGGGACTCAGCACCTCTCCATCAGGAAGGAGGGCTACGAGGAGAGGCAGGCTCTTTCTGCCCCTCTCCCTGCCCTCCCTTGCTTCCATATCAGGATGCCTTCCCTGCGTCCCACAAATGCCCCAAGTACACAATAACCCTGTCCCCTTTCCCACTGCCTGACCGTGGTCACTTTGATCCATAGTTTCAGCTGTAGCACGTGGGGTGGGGGTCTTTTCTCCACAACACAATCCTGCACCATTGGGGGAAAAAGACCAGGGACCTTGGAGGGGACAGTGGGACAGGAACCGGGAAGACGTGGCTCCTGCGCCCCCTGCTGGCCTAGAATCACACTCCGACTGGCAGACTCGGTGGCACAGGGACATCCTGCTCTGATGGCAGACAGGTCCAGGACAAAGGCCATGCAGGGCACATACCAGCACACGGCAGCCACAGGACTGGTGTGTGGAAGACGCCTGGCAACAGCCCAGGAGCTGCTGACTGGTCTCTGGGTGGCAGTGATGGCCCCGGCCTGTAAACCCATAACTCCGGCTTATCATTTTGTTGAAATTAGCCTCACAAGTCTGTTTTCCAGGAGAACATGATCTGGGTCTCTCCTTGGTGCTGACAATCTTGGGTGCACCCCAGCCTCAGGTCCTCTGACCACCAGGAACCAGACCCCAATGCTCCTGACCTCCTGGAACCAGATCTCAGTGACTCTGACCTCCATAAACCAGACCCCAGTGTCCCTGACCTCCAGGAACCAGGTCCCAGTGTCCCTGACCTCCAGGAACCAGGTCCCAGTGTCCCTGACCTCCA